AATTTTTCTATTTCTCTTCTTTTTTGTACTTCTTCATTGACGGCCTTGAACGCACTTGAAAGTAAAACACTTCACTTAAATGATTAAATAAACTAATATAACAAGAAATAATACATTTTACACAAAAAAATGTCTATCATTATTCAAAACGCGTTAACTACGTATTAAACATATAAGATGTTTGAACATTGAACCAATCACAGTGCAACTTTCATTATGCTTATCTGTGATTCGCAAATTACATTATGCAAGATGGCGACTAAAAGAGAGGGAAAATTTAAAAACTAAAAAAGAAAAAAGAAAATTAAAAACTTTGTTCTACTATCTTTTTAACCATAATAAATGCTAGATAAAGAAAACAACATATTTCTAACATTGCCTGATGTATAATATTAATCAATAATAAATAAAATCAAGTAAATTCAATGCATTTAACAATATATAAGAGATTTATTAAAAATGTATATACGATTTGGTAAGTATAGACTAAATTATTATATAATATATAGATATTACAATAATTTTATAAAAAGATTCAGGATTATTATAATGTATGTCTCAACAAAAAAAAAATGTGATGCAGTCGAAAATCTCTAAAAAAAAAAAAAAAAAAAAGAAAAAAAACAAGAAAAGAAAAGAAAAAAAAAGAAAAGAAAAAAAAACAATTAAACTTAATATATATTTCTATAAATTTTCTTTATCTAGCATGCTCGCGTTTGCGTACGTTGAGATAATAGTGTAACCAACAGTATATTTAAGCGCCATCTATTCGAGATAATGTTGGTATGCCTGGCTTGCACAAATAAATGTCAAAATATTAAAAAATTCGATATATGTATTCACTTTGACTACTTCTTCTTTCTTTTACAATGAATAGGTTTGAATATGCTAATCCTCGTCTTCTACCCAACGAATTAAACGTCAGACGTGATTTTGGTGTACGTTTGTACGATGGAGACGTTAAGGTATGTAAAAAAATATAATCATATAAGATCATATAATAATAATAATTAACCTGTTTCATTAATAGACACAATTTGAAGGTGGACAATTATATATTACGACTCATCGAGCACTTTGGGGAAGACCGGATGATATACCACGAGGTAACACTTGCCTCTCATTACCATTAAGATATGTAGTTTTCCACGAAGAGGAATCTCCAGGTCCATTTTCTTTTAGACGTAACAATAAAGTTATTTTACATCTCTCTGAACCATCTCCTGGTAAGAAATTAATAATTTATTATAAATTTTATATTAAATAAAATTGATTTAATTAATTAAAATGCTTTTAGATAAAATGCCTGGACCGGCGGAGAATAGTGCCTTTAATTATATTAAATTATCATTCAAAGAGGGTCTGGATTCAAATTTTATAATAGAATTAAGAGATGTACTTAGAAAAAGAACTTGGGAATCGGATCCACCTATACCATATCAATTAACCGATATGAATATTCAAAGTTTGCGTATTACATCTAAACCATTGCCACAAATAAAACCACGAACGGGTATTATAGGTATTGAAAGGAGTCTTCAAGAACAACAAAAGGCAACGGATGAGAGTATTTCTAAGGCATTCCAAGATCTTAAGAAGCTTATGGAAATGGCTAAAGATATGGTGGCCATATCTAAAACCATCTCTGCAAAAATAAGGGTGACTTTCAATGATTAATTTATAAAGTCGACATTAATAATTCAAGAAAATTGCAGGAGAGACAAGGAGACATCACGGAGGATGAGACTGTTAGATTTAAATCTTATTTGATGAGTCTAGGTATCGATGATCCTGTAACGAGAGATGCTTACAAAAGTAGTAATGAATATTTTAAACAATTAGCTATGCAACTTGCAGTTATTTTAGAAGAACCGATCAAGGTAAAATATATTCTTATTATTAATAATTGTAAATAGATATATGACAATAATAGATGGAAAATAATAATCAATATATTTTTTTTTTTTTTTTTTTTAGGACGTAGGTGGAATGATGACATTGACCGACGTTTATTGTCGTGTTAATCGAGCCAGAGGATTGGAACTTTTGTCACCGGAAGATTTATTAAATGCTAGTAGACAATTAGCGTCTTTAAGCATGCCTATAGTATTAAGGATCTTTGACAGTGGTGTTATGGTTCTTCAAATTCGTTCTCACGATGATCTTGCAGTTGCTGATTCTATAGCAGATTTAGTAAGTATGATATAATAATTATTTATACGATATGAAAAGTTTAATAAAATAAAACAGTATAATAATAATAATTATAATAATTTAAATCGATTATAGTTACAGGAAAGAGGTTCAATAACTGCGGAGGAACTTGCACGATCCGAAGGAATATCTGTTTTATTAGCGCGAGAAAGATTGTTAGTTACGGAAAAACATGGAAAAGCTTGCAGAGACGATACGATAGAAGCATTAAGATTTTATCCAAATTTATTTTTAGAACAAAACGCGTAACCCTTAATCGTTCATATATATATATATATATATATATATATATATATATATATATATATATATTATCATTGGCATCATGGAATTACAAGAAAACGCAACCGCCTCTATTATTATTATTATTATTATTATTATTATTATTATTATTATTATCATTATCATTATTATCTTATTCATTAAGTATTCGTATAATTCTCGTGCCTTTATAAATCGTGCACAGTTAAGTCCAATGCAATGATTAAAAAAAAGAAAGCAATTTCTATCGTCCTCGCAGTGCATACAACGTAGCTTGTTACAAAACGAAGGTATATAATCATAAATGTTATATTAAAAGAACAAAAAAAAAAAGAAAAACAAAATATATATATATATATATATATATATATATATATATATATATATATATATATAGAGAGAGAGAGAGAGAGAGAGAGAGAGAGAGAGAGAGTGAGAGAAAGAGAAAGAAAGAATGTACAATTGAAATCATTTTTATGTTATTTTATATTTCAATCAATACAAAATTATAGAAATACTATAAGATTTTCTGCTTCTGATTCATTGGTATCCTATTTGATACTATGCTAAAGAAAAAAAAGAGAGAGAGAGAGAGAGAGAGAGAGAGAGAGAGAGAGAAACAGGAACTAACTGGCGTGGCAGGTATTAACGAGCGTCATGTAAACATACACATAACACACAATACTACGTACATACAATAATACATACACACAATAATGTAACCTTGATGAGATCAGCAAAATGTCAAGGCTAGAATGAAATCTCTTTCTTTCTTTCTCTCTCTCTTTCTCTCTCTCTCTCTCTCTCTCTCTCTCTCTCTCTCTCACTCTCTCTCTCACTCTCTCTTCTTACTGAAATGTATAATTTATATATACGATAAAAAAAAAAAAAAAAAAAAAAAAAGAAAAGAAAAAAAAACCGAGTGAATATAATTACATTGTTTAATAATTGAGAATGCAAGTATTATTAATCTTCCAGTATGGTTACACATAGGACGTATGATCATTAAGAATTTTATTCTTTTTCTTTCTTTGCTGGTGCCAATAATTAAAAAGAATAAAATTTTTCTTAACCAGTTAATTAGCATGTCGACTAATGTCATTCTATAAATATCATACTCTACTACAGGTTTTCATATAAAAATAGAATCCATTAAAGTCTGTATCTATCGCCATGGTTTATGCTAATTGCTTCATTATTATTTTCTCTTATTCTATAAGATTAACGAATTATTCTATGGTGATATTATAAGAGTTTAATATCCATGGAAATTCTTTTATAAAGAAAATTTCCAATGTATCATTTGTTTTTTTGTAAATTATTATTATAAACAAAAAAAAAAAAAAAAAAAAAGCTAAATAAGTATGTGCACGCGCGCGCGCGCGTGTGTGTGTGTGTATATATATATAAACATAGTATCAGAAATATTCAATATTAATAATAGTAAAATTATAATATGAAACGTATGATTAATCATGAATTGATTCACATACGTAGTTTGTGGTTTGCAATTGACAAAAGAAAACTCTTATTGGCCGCAAAACACCAATTGCAAGTACAAGTACATTGACTTTGAAAGTAAGAGTTACACACACACACACACACACACACACACATACACACCATCGATAAATCTGATCGTTTCGAATATTCCCACCAGATGTATATGCATATACATATATATATATATATATATATATATATATATATATATATATATATGCATATGCATGTATACATGTTTCCATACGTTTTCTTATTTCATTTGAATTACTATAGCATCCATATATAATATTTGCTGAGTCGAGAGAGTATGGAGTTAGTACTTGGGATGCCATAGAGCATTAATATCTATGTTTTAACGTTACATCATCATCTCGTGACTTTCTACATCCTCTTTGATATATAACCAAGCTAGAAAAAATTTCCTCGACATTTAATCACGTGAAAGGGATCTCTCTCTCTCTTTCTCTCTCTCTCTCTCTCGTTCTCTCTCGTTTTCTCTCTCTCTTTCTGTCTCTGTATCTGTCTTGACATACAAGATAAAATAAAAATTCGTGTTAAATCTTATTTTACAAATTTAGATGAGTCAATGATGGCGAGGATTGAACAATCAAAAAAAAAAAAAAAAAAAAAAAAAAAGAGATTGATAATCAAAGTTAGATAAAAACATTCATCTAACTAGTTATTTAGAATATGCTAGTCATCGATTAAAGATTAGAAACTATTATCGATTTTAATTCACCATACTTCTATGAAACTATAATAAAAAAAGAAAAAAAAAAAAAAAATAGAAACAGAAATAAAAGAAATAGTAACTTTTACTTGATGCGTGTTAATAAAATAATAGATCTAATGATACGATTTGATTGAAGTGAAGATTTTGATTTTTTTTTTCTTCTTTTTCTTTTTCTTTTTCTTTTTTTGTCCCTCTTTCTTTCTTTTTCTTAAGTTCAATTCTAACAATAAGCTATGTAAATAGCTTTGACAAAAGTTTCCGAAACAAATCTCTTCCTTTTGCTTGGGTAATTCTCTTTCACATGCTCTTCCTGTTTTCCCTGTCTTTTCTCGGGACATTGCACGGCGATTAGACTTTGCAAAAACGTTACGTGGAATTACGTAAAGTCATTTCCATGAGTTTCAGAGCGTATTGGCTGTCTAATCGGGACGAACCGTTACTTTGATTAGTTTCCCACTTCCTTTGGCGTATACGCATAAGAGGACTAAGGAACCACAACACATACGTTCGCCCATACAACTTTTTCTTTTTTCTTTTTTTCTCTCTTTTTTTTTTTACATGACTAAGTTTCTTCTATAGATCGTTAAAAAAACAAATGCATAAAAGGTCTCTGCATATATCTTTCGAACGATAATTATCAACGATAGATATGTCTTAATTATAAAGTATTCTATGGAAAAAAGAAAAAAAAAAAAAAAAAAAAAAGAAAAAAGGAAAGAAAAATAAATCATCATAATCATTTCCTGCAACAAAACTTTTTCTTTTCTTTTCTTTTTTTTTCTTTTCTTTTTTTTTTTTTTTTTTCATACAAAATGCATATGATTGTATCATAAAGATGCAATTGCAAACCGTTAACTATTCTCGTTGCACGTATAAACGCACGAATTTCCATGTATACATTTGTTAATTAATTAAACATTTAAATATATTATCGTGGGTAAGATCAGTAAAGAGCATAGGAAAGGAAGAAACGATAACGATTATGGGATTATTAAACTTTGAATTTCTTTATTCAAGCACGCATCGGTATAAATAATAAATAATTAATAAATCAATCAATCAATCAATCAATCAATTAATTAATCCTAAGATTTTTTTATTTATACGATATAGCACGTAACATTTGGTCTTTTAACTATACGAATAAAAAAAAAAGATACTATCAATAGATTCTTACGAAGTATCTACGAATTCTCAACATTGTCGAACAATACTTAGCGCATCTGGTTAGCATTTGCGTTTTGTGACAGCAAAAGTTGTGCGCTCTAGAAGGCACATGCAACCTGTTTTTGTGGATAATGTTTTACCACACAACGGGTGATCTCTTATCAATTTGACGAATCGATGATAAAAATTAAATGAAATCATTAAGCAATGAAATGTTTGACCTTTGACAAATGAGAAAATTACGAAAGCCACACAACGTGTTTTCTATAAATAGAAAAAGTAGGAAAAGATTTAACGTCATTTATATTTATGAATTATGTATGATCTGTTGAAAAACGATAAATCCTTTTGACGTGATGGTTTATAAGCAAGTGAAAATGTTCAATTTCGATCAGACCTTCATGTAAGATAAGATAATAAGTAGAATTCGCTTTGTTCGATCAGACTTTATCTTTAAAGTCTCCGGATAAAGTAGAAATGGTTTATTTGTGATCAGACATTATCATAAGATAAAAAGGTCTTTATTAATAGAAATATTAATAGAATAATTTAAATCTTTTTCAATTGTCGTAGAGATCAAAAAAAAAAAAAAATCAAAGAGAAGTCGAGTTCACGAACGTAATATGTGAAAGATGATCAAATAAAAATAATTATCGACTAGAAATGATTGTAGTTTTAGTTATTTACGTTTATTAGCGAGTACACCAGGTAGATACACCTGGCGTTGAGAGCTAACCAAGGCTCTATATGTGTGCGTAGGTGGAGGGGAAAGAGTCCCTATCTCAGAAAATTCAGGTGGGAGAAGTGTAAGAAGGTGGTGAAGGAGTTGAAGTGAGACCGGTGAAGAAAGGTTTGCCTGTGGAGTAACAAAGATCAACGGAGTTCTCCAAAAAGATAGGTAGAGAGAGAGAAAAAGAGAGAGAGAAAGAGATAGATAGAGAGAAAGAAAAAGAGAGAGAGAGAGAGAGAGAGAGAGAGAGACAAGGATCACGCGTTTAACCGCGTTCACCGAGGGAATCGTTTGCTTCGGCTGTTCGTTGATACGAACCTTTTTCTACCTGCCAGTTTTAAGGTTTTCGCACATCAGCCTAACTTGATTTATCAGCTAGCCATTGTCAAGCATTACGAAGCTATTGCTTGATTGAATTAAAAGTGAAATTCAATTTTAGCCCTAATCATCATTTCTCACAATCATCATTATCATCATCATCATCATCATCATCATCATCATCATCATCATAATAGTCCATTAAGTTTCTGAAGAACAATAATAATGACAGGAAAGTTCAATTGGCTTCTCGATTTAAAGTAAGAAGCATCAGAGGAAAAGACAAGGCTGCCATTTGATTGTGGCAAGAGAGTAATGGTGTTTAAATGCCAATCCGGTAACACGCTCGACACACTCTCTGCTTGACTTTCGTTGAACCAGTCAGAGTAGCGATTGGATCCAGTGTGCGAAGGCCTTTAGAACGAGCGACGTCCTTTTGCCAAGCTAGCAGTAGTGGTGGTAGTGGTGGTAATGGTGGTGATGGCAATGGAGGTGGCGGTGGTGATAGTGGTGGTGATGGTGGTGGTGGTGGTAGAAGCGGAGAAGGAAGGTTGAAAGGTACCAGGTAGGGAGCAGTTAGTTGGTGAGCCATCTAAAAGAGGGGAAAGAGGTGAATAAGAAAGAGAAGGATAATGGTGGATAAAAGGAATAGGATGGATGGAGAAGAGCAAGTGGGTCTTTTTCATGGAGTGGGGAGTATAGAGTGAATAAGAAAGAAAGAAAGAAAGAAAGAAAGGGACAGATGGACATGAAGAGGAACAAGTCTGAATCTTGTATCTCTTTCTGATGACAAAGAAAAGGAGGGAGGGTTCGAGATACGAAAGAGAGAGAAAAAGATAGAGAACGATGAACATAAGCTTTTCTTCTTCTTTCTTTTCAGAGTAAGGACTCAGGGGAGGGAATATGGCAAATAAAAAGAGAAGGACAGACAGAGAGAGAGAGAGAGAGAGAGAGAGAGAGAGAGAGAGAGAGATACACAAGTGCAACATCACTTTTTCTTCCTCTCTCTTTTTAGAGTGGGGAATAGTATAGAGAATAAGAAGGACAGATAGATACTGACTCTCTTTTATCTCTTTCTGATGAAGAAAGGGGTCTGAGGGAATGGAATGAAAGAAAGAAAGAAGGAGAGGGACAGAGAAGGTACCTGGAAAGGCGAGAGAGCTTCGGACTACTCGAATTCAGGACAGAATCCATCCGAAGGCGCCGGTTGGAACTCGACCGGTCTCTTTCTCTCTCTCTCTTTCACGTGGTACGACGTCGATCAAGAACCGATCGTGGCGAAGGTGTGGCGAAGTCAAGAGAAAAAGAGAGAGAGAGAGAGAGAAAAGAAGAGTAGTAGGAGTTAGAGAAGAAGGAGGAGGAAGAGGAGGAGGAGGAGGAGGATTCAACAGTGAGTGAGGTACCGAAAGGAGAGGAGGAAGCCGTCGTGGCCGTTGCTGCTGTTGCTCTTCAGTCGAGAGACTCGTGTTTCGTGTCCTACGTTTTACGCGTTACGCGTTAGTATAGTTCATATTTGGTGTGTCTGACAGTCGATAGAAATAATTATTTTTTTCTGAAGAAAATACAAAGAAAGAAAGAAAGAAAATGAGTGTGTGAGAGAGAGAGAGAGAGAGAGAGAGAGAGAGAGAGAGAGAAAGAAAGAAAGAAGAAAAGAAAGAAAGAAAGAAAGAAAGAAAGAAAGAAAGAAGGAAAGAAAGAGAGTAAAAGAAGAACATTATCATTTGGACAATCATTGTCTTTCTCCTTCCTTTAATATCGTTTATCGATTTTCTTCGGCAAAACGAAAATTTTCCATTATTTTCAAACGGCCCTGCTGTTCCTGCTGTTATTACTGACCATTGCTGTGATTCGATGCAAGTTGGCAAACCAACGTGGAAAAGTAGTCAGAACTGTACAGCTGTCAGACGAGACTACTCTCGAGTTCTCTATTCGTCTCTGTCTTTCTTGCTTGTTCGATTCTCTCCCTTCCCGCCCCCCCCGCCCCTCGCACCCTTCCTCCCACCCTTCCTCTCCTCACCCCACTTCGGGTTCACCATCTCACTCTCTCTCTCTCTCTCTCTCTTTCTCTTTTTTACTCCCATACCATAGGATGGTGCTCGTACGTAGCTCGTAAACCTCAGACGCCGTGGTTACGTTTAGTTTAGACTCGCTTATACCGTAAGGACGGCCTTACACACGGTTTTCGCGAGGTGCATCGTGCGCAGACCAGTTGCTCTTTCTCTTTCTTTTTTTTACGTATATATATATATATATATACACACACCTACACGTTTTTGTGAGTGCAAGAAAACAGAGAAAGAGCGAGAGGGAGAGAGAGAGAGAGAGAGAGAGAGACAGAGACAGAGAAAAAGAGAGAGAAGGTGCATTTGTACGATCATTTATTAAGGTGAGTCTAGATCGAAGTGTTCGGTGAAGGCTAACAAGACGATCAGGACGAGTCTTTCTTTTCTTTTCTCTCTCTTTGACTGTGCCATTCGTTGAAATCACCATTACTTCATATTCCCTTCGATATCTTTTTTTTCTTTTCTTTTTTTTTTTTTTCTTTCTTTTTTTCTTACTCCTTTTCTCCGATAGTGACAGATCAATTCGTTTTGTTTTGTTTTGTTTTGTTTTTTTTTTGTTTCTATTATCAAATATAAAATCCTTGATATTTGGTCGAGAGAAAAAATTTAATCCTCTTCGTCATCTTTTTTTGTCGTTTGTGTCAATCGTCGTTTAAATAGCCGAAAGAAATAATTTTTGGTGTCTCTGATAGTGAGAATCGATTCAAGCGCAAGATGGATAACGTGTCCCGTGGAAACGGGTTTAAGCGTGAAAGTAATCGAGGAAGCAGTTGAAGAGAAAGAAAGAGAGGGAAGGTAGATGTTAGACGGGTAACAGCAACAGCAGCAGCGTGTTGAGACCCGGTAAAAGCTTCATTTTCCTTCAAAAATCTTCTTCTCCGTTGTTAACTTCTTTCATTCTTTCTTTCCTTGTTTTGTTTTTTTGTTTTGTTACGGGATTTTTTTTTCATTTTTATCATCCTCCCGCTGTTCGTTCTATCTGGAGCGAATAAAATCGAATTAGTAGTGGAGCGTTACCAATCGAGAGATCGAACAAAGTTGAATAGAATCGTATTGCATTGTCATTCGTTCCGGAGTATAATCTTTCATCCAACGAAATTACACGTGAATTTCTCGTGTAATTCTCAAATAGTTAAAAAAAAAAAAGAAAAAACAAAAGCAAAAAATCGATACGCAAACATAGTTATGTTCATTGAGGACCTGCTAACTCCTGTCAAAAGTTTTTTCTGTTTTTCTTTTTTCTTTTTTTGAAAAAATACTTACAAATGAATATCTTGCTTGAAGGACGAAGTCCTTTCCGATGATCGAAGTTCTTTCAAATTTTTCAAAAAATTAATAGAAATGAAACATCTGTTGGGGGGGGGGGGTGGGGGTTGGGCAAAAAAAATTCTAATCCAATTTAAACCCTATAACATCCAATAAAACTTCTTTGAAATTCTTCTTTTTCTTCAAAAAAAAAAAAGGAAAAAAAAAAAAAGAAAAATGTTTAGAAAGAATTTTTAATCGAGTTAGAAAAAGAAAAAAGAAAAAGATGCTTTTGACGAAGGAAGAAATATTTTCTTTCTTTTTTTTTTTTTTTTTTTTTTCTTCTTGTTTTGTTCCCGTTTTGTTCCGTGCGAGATCAGTGCGAGTAATGGCCCTACATCTGAGGGGTAGCAAGGATGTCAAGAAGAGCTCGTACTACGTTTGGTATCTTGGTGCGAGGGAGGCCAAGGGTGTGGACGCGATGCCTGGTGCCATAGCTTACCTGCTCGAACGAGAACGACTTCAAGAACCTTTCAAGGTCACTTTACAGGTGAGCGCTACCATTTCGAGATCCGGTTTTGGCGCCTACCGTCCGAAAATATTCTAAGACATGACGTTTGTTTATCGATATGAAGGAAGCCTTACGAATTTTCTACGTTTATTTTTATTATTTCCATTTTTGTACTTTTTCTATCCTCTAATCTTTTTTGTTTTTTTTCCTCTCCTTCTTCTTCTACTTCTTCTTCTTCTTCTTCCCCTTTTTTTTCTGTTTTTTTTTCTTTTCCCCCTTAGAGAAAGTTAGATACGAGGTATCATAAAATTCCCTTTTTTACGATTGCCGAACCGGCAAAAAACCGGATACTTCTAAAAATTGCCATGTTATTTTTCACCAAAAGTTAAATCTAGTCAAGATATTTTCAAATTGATACGAGGGATAAATTTAGAAATGATGATAAGAAAAGGATGTCGACTAAAAGTAATTCTCAATATCGTTTTCATTCTTATCTTCTTACGTTCCATATCTTTCTTCTTTCCCATTATCAGAAATGAATATATTTGACGTATTTAAATTTTCATAGAAAGTGGGAATGAAATTGATAATTAGGAAATATAAATTGGGAAAGAAAGAGAGATAATTTTATTCCCTGACGTCACATTTCTACTCCATTCCTTTAGCTTTTTCCATCGAAAACAAATCTACACAAACGTTAAGTTTCTCTATTTAATATTGATAAGTAGATGGAATTAAAACTGGAAATTAAGTAAAAAAAAAAAAGTTAATCCTCCGTTGACTTCATTCCTATCACGGTGTTTCGTTCATAAAAAAGAAAAATTTATGGTAGTTAAAAATCGTTTATATATATATAAAAAAAAAAAAAATGATTTAGGTCTTAACGCTAACACGAGAATAGAATTCGTTTGAATCTAATCAAGAATCTAATACTTTTTCTATATATATATATATATATACATTGATATTTTTTAAGTAATTTGATTCAAAAAACCATTTCATTTGTTTAAAAAAAAATTTTCCAATATCTTTGGAAATCAAAAAATCGATAGAAAAAGAAAAAGAAAAATTAGAATTATTCAATCTAATGATTTAATCTATCTATAAAACGTCATAAGATACGTGGGAAGGACCTTGCCACTTAACTAACACCCACTAGAATAATTTATGCTAATGAATTATGAAGAATTAATATATAACGAATTCATTGACCCGAATCTTCATACGACGAATGAAACGAGGCGTCTTCGATATGGGAAAAGAGAAACGGCATGCGAAATTCTTTCTTTCTTTCTTTCATTCTTTCATTCTTTCATTCTTAGTCTCTCTCTCTCTCTCTCTCTCTCTCTCTCTCTCTCTCTCACCTCTCAAGTAGTTACGAGTTAGCGCGGGCGATTTGAAATCATCATAATCCTTTAAGATAGGCAAAGAAACGTGTAAAACGTGTGAAGAATGAAGAACAACTTAAACGAATCTAATTTTATAATTAAATGAAATATTATTAGTGCAGTTATATCAAATATATTGATTTTAAATTAAAAAGGGAGATAGAGATAGAGATAGAGATACAGATAGAGAGAGAGAGAGAGAGAGAGAGAGAGAGAGAGAGAGAGAGATAATATTAATGAATATATTATCGCGAAAGTGATCTAATTTTTAAATCATATCTCGTTGAATTAGTTAATAAATAGATTGTAAAATGTAAAAAAAAAAAAAACAAGAAGAAACGAAACAAATGATAAATCGAATTTCTATACGTACTTTAATCGAAGTTCGAGTATCACGTAATAAAATTGACGTGATTATTTTAAATTTTGCCTGGGATAAATTCGCGAAACACGAAATACTGTTGCGTTGTAAATGTCGCGAAAAAGAAAAAAAGAATGAGATCATTATTATTATCATTATCATTATCATTATTATCATCATTATTATTATTATTATTATTATTATTATCATTATCATTATTATTATTGTGAAATAATAGCGGTGAGTGATCCGCCTAATTATTGTGCAAGTGTAATTACAAAAAGCCTGTCATAAAGAGAAAGTCTTAAAAAACTTTTGTCGAATAAGATGGAGGAGGATCATTCTATGCGCTAAAATTTACTTAAATCGGTAAAGCAATGGCAATGTTATCACAATGATTATAATATGGACAGGCTTGTTAATTGCTTAGATTGTTTGCTTTAAGTAGTCGAAGAATGCGCTAAGATGACGCCTTCTTTCTGAAAGTGTTCTTTTCTCTAGTTATTTCCCCCTATCACCTATCTCTCTCTCTCTCTCTCTCTCTCTATCTCATTCTCTCTTTCTCTCTCTTTTGGCCTTTTAAACGAGGATCGCACGTAATCGTCGAGCGAGATGTAGTAATTACGTCGTTCGCGTTTCCGCTATCGTGAACAATGCCACGCGTGTCACCGTAAGAAACAAAACGTAAGAGAGAGACTAGTCTTACGAGATTTTCATGTTCTGTCTCTTAACTGAGATAAGTATAAGAGATAATTATTTGATGATCCATAGTGTTGCGTGAATGGACGTTGAATCATTCCTTATTTAAATGCGAAACCTTTATACAGATATATTTTCATTGTAATTTATAATCGAATGTTCGATGAGAGATTTGGAAAAAAGAAAAAAAAAAGAAAAAAAAAAATTATTTTAAATTAATCAATTTAAATAAAATTATTTTATCAAATAAGATTCACACATATTTAATATCATCCTATAGGAAATAACATTTCATATAACTATATAGATATATTTTTATCGTAATTACGATCTAACATCTGATTAGATAATTAAAAAAAAAAAAAATTATCTCACATTATTAAATTCATAATACAATTATATATAGAATAAGATTAATACATTTATATTGTTCTACGAATAAATATTAGAAAACGTATACGTGTTTATCTTTGATCAAATTGATAGAGATACGACGATTACATGTTATTTTTATTGTTCTAACATTCCTAATAACGCCTAAACGATGTTTCTCGATTAATAATAGCATTATTGTTGATAGGTGAGCAGTAAAGGCCTGAAGATCATTCAAACTGTTCATCCTGGTGGTTCTACTAGATCAGCTGTGAAACATTTGGTACCAGGTCATGCTGTATTGGCTGCTGTTCAACGAGAAGACATCGTAGCAGCTACTTTGCTCTTACCAAATCCTGCCACCAACAATCCAGTTCATGTTCATGCATATAGGTTTTCATTTTTTTCTCTCTTTCTTTTTTCCTTTTTTCTCTTATCATATTAATTGTTCCTTAACGTGCCCGATTATACAGCTTTTTCTACCTTCACTCGTCTATGACTTCGTTATCACACTTTCATCTCATTTATTATCATAACTATTCTATATTTTTTTCCTCCCTTTTTTACTTTCTGTCTTTCTTTTTTTTTGTTTTTTTTTTTTATGATAATAAATTTTGTTCCTTTTCATTTTCTGCTTTTATTATTATTATTATTATTATTATTATTAATATGAAGGATAAAGAAAAAAGATACGTTCTCCAAAGATGGAGGTCGATTCGTTCATCAACTCAATCTTATGGATTATAGGTCTTCATTTTACTTAATTATCCTTCCACTTCGTATAACGAGCTGTTAACGTATTTTTCATTATATCTTGATGATGAGGAATCCACCTACTCTCTCATATTCTCATGGATTAAGTTTGAAAAAATCAGAAGCCTTTGGTTTCTCCGAGATAAATATGATTTGTTATGGAAAAACTGGCCCAGTTTATGAATTCTAATTATCATTTTACTTACAATTATGTGATTGGATTATAATAATAATAATAATAATAATAATAATAATAATAATAATAATAATAATAATAATAATATACCATTCACCACACACGAGTACCGTTATCGAAACTTTCCGTTCGATCAGATGCGACTCGGTCGAGACAGCTGAATTGTTGGGTGGACAACTGAAGGCATTGGCGTCGCAAACAGATAATTTAGCAAGAGTATCCTCTGGTGAAGGTAGAATCCGAAGTAATTTGGGTAGCGATGGGCGAAGTACAAGAGAATCCGAATCATCTGAAGGTAGTGGAGAATTGAAACATGATCCCATCCAAACTACAACGATATACGAATCATTGGCAGCCGAATTAAGAGCGAAATTAGGTAAGAAGCTGATAAAAATTGAATAAACGAATGAAACCAAGTGACAATCTATGTCCATCTTTATTTCATTCAGGTCGTGGAAATTCAGGAGACAACGACGTTGGACCTATATTGTTACCACCACGTGACTATGACACAGTTCACAGGCATCGTGGTAACTTAGCTGGTATCGAATTTAGGCGTTGCTTAAATCAAACCATAGTGGGTGGTAGTACAACTGTTGATCGAGGTGGTACAAGGAGTGCAGCTAGCAGTGGAATTGGATCGGATAGTGCGGCTACTCCTCCACCGTATCAATCTCATCATCCTTTAGGTCCAAGACCTTCGAGACCTTCGAGAGATTCCTCTTCTGGTAAGCAAACAACTCTCTAAGTTAATTTCGAAAGTCTTTCTCTCTCTCTCTCTCTCTTTTTCTTTCTTTCTCTCTTTCTTTCTCTCTCTCTTTTTCTATCCCTTGTGGTTCTATTAGCCGGTAAAAACGATTTCTACAGAAATCGAGGCCTCTCTGCTTCAATGGTTCAATGTACTCTTGTGAATACACTTATGCGGTCAAAGTAACTCTCTGGCGTGTTTAGAATAAACTCATGGAAAGTCGTCAATTGGATCGATCGATTGATCGATCCAATGAACGCATCGTAACATAGAGAGGATAATCATGATGGCTACCGTGGTTAGATCTTGCTAAATGGAAAGTGAAAGTTTCTTCTTTTTTTTCTCTCTCTCTCTCTCTCTCTCTCTCTCTCCCTCTCTTTCTCTCTTTCTTCTTGCGGATTATTTCTTTTTGCGGATCACCAACAGGAAATTGACGAGAATCGATAGAACGATTTTTATAATTAATGCATGGGAATGGTATGAGAGAGTTTATAAGATCAAACAAGCTTTCAAACTCGAAACTTGTCTTGAATTTCTTATCAATTAATTCCTGTCGTTAATTGTAACTTGAATCTCGATATAACATTTTTCTTTTCTTTTCTTATTGTCATTGAATCGAATCTTTGTCCTTTGTCTTCGTCATTAATATTGTTATTATTGCTAACGACAAATTCCTGAAATTTTTCCTGAAGTTTCTCTCTTTTTTTTTTTTTTTTTGAAAATGTCAAACGTCATTAGAATGAGGAATTTAAGTTGAAAAGACAGAAATTTGGACGCTTTCTATTCGCTCGGCAGGTGTGTCCGCACGAATCTTATCGGCTCTCGTAGAAAACCGGGCAGAAGCGAGAAGCGACCCCCTAACCCAATTTCTTTAGCCACCTCGAAAATCCAATGGTGTGTCGGGCACTTATATGCTTGATACTTTTCTTTTTTTTTTTTTTTTATCCTCTCATATTCTTTTCTTTTCGTCTTCTTCTTCATTCGAATCGACATTCTAACGGAAATGAACGGTGCGATATCCTTTTCAGTTTTAACACGACGTGTTTAGAAAATTGATAAATTTATTATAATTCAAAGTGTTTCTTCTAATTAAAAAATATAAAACGAATCGAGGGTTCCCATGTTAATTAATAATTCTTGATAATGAAAACCAGTAATATACATGTATACATATATATATATATATGAACGAGATGAAAATTAAAAAAGACGGACGATTTCCTTTTCTCTTTCTTTTCTTTTTCAAACATGTTTTTTAACGGACGACTGACCTAATATCGCTTCGATGATAAAGAAAAGAAAAGAAAAAAAGAAAAAAAAAAAGAAAAAACCAGGGGAAAAAAAGAAAAAGAAAAAGGAAAAGAAACAGTAACAACTTAACATCGGATATACTTCGGTGTTTAAGTATCTTTGTACATACGTGTGATGGAGCGAGATGAAAAGAAAAAGAGAGACAGAGAAAAAGAAAGAGAGGGAGAGAGAGAGAGAGAGAGAGAGTACCACCAAGCTTGGGCACCTGTTACAGTGGAAGGTGTACCGTTAGGACGTCGTGTCAGCGACAGGTACCAGCCTACGGGCACATGTATCTCGATTCCAGGGCTTTTACTCGACCGCAAAAACCAACCAGCTTTGGATTGACTCGTGCTATCGATTATATTACAAACGTCAAATGTTAAATCCCCGAAACTTAACTTATATCTATATTTCATATGACATTTGACATTCGTATACGTATCTCCGAACTATTATTTCTATTTGCCTGTAACATATGTTAATTTACAATTTGCACTTTGAAAATTCTTTCTTTCATTTTCTTTTTCTTTTTCTTTTTCTTTTTTTTCTTTTTTTTCTTTTTTTAACCGTTCCATTGTGAGAACGTTCAAGGTCATTGTACGATTCCACTCATGACGAGATTTCTGGATTTCTGGGTTCTCCATTAATGAGATCTAATCATGGAAAATATTCCAAAGAAATCTTCTATTTCTTTTTTTTTTTTTTTCTTACTCTCTTGTTTCGTAAAGACCATTAACTTTCATCTCAACCGCGATATTTAGATTTTTCATTAATGAAAAATATTCCAAGAATATTTATAATATTTCATTTGTTCATTCTCGAGCTTTTCGAGTGTATTTATTATACGATCACTTTTTTCTCTTTTCTCTTTTTGTTTCTTTGTTTTTTTTTTTTTCGTTTTTTTTTCTCTACAAAAATTGCTCTCTCTTCTTTTTCAATTGATGTAGATCAAAGCTTTCCAATGTCAACTATTCTTCTTTTCTACCTGCTCTTCCCCTCCTCCTTTCCCCTCCCCTCTCCCCCCGCCTACCACTACTTCCATTAATCGAATACAAATCATGATTGTAGATAAGTATAACTCGACTGGTATACTTCTCGACTTGCATAAATTATACAGGCAATTTGCGAACGTATAGGTGGATACGTAATAGGTAAGTCGCGTGAAACCATCGTTGCCTAGATTCCATGCGAGGAATTGTCCCGCTCAGAAGGCACCTCGATTAAATTATTACGTCGCACGGGAGTTAGCTCGCCGTGAAATCGATTCCGCATTATTATTCCAGTACCGTTCTTCTTCTACGAAAGAGAAACACTTGCTCACGTATTTGCTTGCAAAAATGTTCACGAATAAATTAATGATAATAATAATAATAATAATAATAATAATAATAATAATAATAATAATAATAAAAATAATAATAATAATAATAATAATAATGAAGAAAAAAAAGAAAAATGTATTTATTAAAATAATTACGTCAGGGCAATGAGATGAGTTGGTTTTTTTTTTTTTTTTTTATTTTTTTCGTTACTTCTGATTAGATCAATTTTTTTTTAGTAGTAATTTTTTCTTTTCCTTTCATTATGCTCACGTATATCTTATGAAGAAAAAAAAAAAAAAAACAGAAAACAGAAAAAAAAATCATTCATTCTAGTTAATTCAAAGGAAGGAATGTATAAATTAAATTTATATAAAGGCAAGATAAAATCACACACAACACTTATCCTAGTTTCATCCTGATATTGAGAAGATGTTAGTCAATCGACTCAACAACCTTTAACACTAAGAACTTAGTATGGTAACGGCACTCCAACTCTTTCTCTTTCTCTCTCTCTCTCTCTCTCTCTCTCTCTCTCTCCCTATCTTTCTCTATTTCTCTCTATCTCTCTCACTATCTCTATCTCTCTTTCCCTATGCTAGAAATTATTGCGCAAAAGAGTGGTTTTGAGGTGCGTTCGAGAGAAAGACGAGACGGCATGAAGAAAGAAGCGAGGTCATTGGCAGACGATGATAGTAATGACCAGAAGAGAAGACGATTACGATAAATCTAACAATGACGATGACGATGATGGCGCCGCCGACGACGATGACGACGACCACGACGACGACGACGACGACGATGATGATGATGATGACGATGATGATGATGATGATAATGATGATGTTGGAGATCATAATTACTATGATACAATGTCCTTTCCTATAATGTTGACCAGGACTAATGTGGAATCCAAGAAAATTTGTACGTTAATCGAGCTCGTGGGAGGCCAAACATGAAGTTCCGCATTCTCGGCCCATAGCCTGAGGCTTTCTTTAGCCTTCTTCGTGTCTTATTGAGAAACTCAAAGAAGAAGAAGAAGAAGAAGAAGAAGAAGAAGAAGAAGAAGCAGAAGAAGCAGAAGAAGCAGAAGAAGAAGAAGAAGAAGCAGAAGAAGAAGAAGAAGAAGAAGAAGAAGAAGAAGAAGAAGAAGAAGAAGAAGAAGATATCGTCGTCTTTAACCTCTCTCTCTCTCTCTCTCTCTCTCTCTCTCTCTCTGTTATTTCATTACCTGTCCACACTTTAAATCTCTTCGTGACCTCTCTCGGATTCTTCTCTACAGAATTCTACTCGACCGATTTGCCTTGACTCGCGTTTTCTCGAGTCACCTTACTGACCGAGATGCTAGAGATTTTATCTAGTAACGTTTATATCATGCCTCTCTTCGGTATATATGTGTGTGTGTGTATATGTGTGTGTGTTTGTTTGTATGCATGATGCGTGTATCTATCCAAAGAGTTTCTAATATCTCAAAGGAAAGATTCGTTTGCGATCTTTTCACCTTACTTTTTCATAATCTTTCCACAAATTGACCTCAAATCTTCAAATTTTTTTTTTAATTATTATTTAGGATAATATATTTATATTAATTAATTTACAGATGACGATTGGGGGGCTGGTACAGAGGAAAGTCATTATTTCCCAGACGTGGAGACTACTGGTTCGAGTTTGACATTACCAAGGCTACCTAGAAGTCCAGAAAGACATCCAATTCAGCAACAACCAACGAGAGGTATATCGCCTGGTTGTAATAGAAATCGTAGGGCACCAGAATTGAGACAAAGATCACCGAGTCCTCAGTATCAGCCAAAAGTAAATCCTGGAGAAGTGACAAGTCCAAGAGAGAGGTTCCAAGATGCTAAAGAAATGTTCAGGGCCATGGAGAGGGAAGCTATCGGTAGACCAGTCCTCTCCAGGCAGAGAGAGTCAGATGGTCATCATCATGTTCATAGGTAAAATCCTCCTACGGTAATAAATAAACAACGTATTTATATTCAATTCGTTGTTGATCAAAGGAAAGTAAGAATTAAAAAAAAAAAAAAGTAAACTGGCCTGGTGAAAGGTCGCCATTTCTCTTAGGATAAACCAGATTCTCCTTGGAAACGAGTTGATTTATTCCTCTTGTAAAAGTTAAGATGTGTCACGTAGTCATTTTCATTCTCACCGTATTTGGTTTGGTTTAGTTTTCCCTTCTTCATTCTACTATGACATTTCTCTAAACGTCATATCTAAGTTAGAGATTTCTCTTATCTCTTAAGTCAATCAATCCATGATAAAACTGTTAATTAATTTTCTTATTTGATCTTTTGACAGGGTGGAATCATCTAGACAAATTCACGAGGATCGTTCTATTCGTTCACATCAAACCAACGTGAATTCTTCGCCTGCTCACGATCATCAACAAATCAGACGAAGTCATACCGAGCTTGATCGAGAGAATGAACTTGCTTATCGAGCGAGACCAAGACCTAGAACTCATCATTATGGAATAGATCAACCATCTGAATCGGAAACTACGACTAGGCCACGGCCGAGAAGCTTTTATGAAAATCCAGTTGTTGGGAGAGAGTTTCGTGAACAGAGGAATCCTATCGATCCTCGAGAAGTGAGAGATCTTTCTAATCATTTTCATTTTCATCTGACAAAACAATACAATTGTTATTAAAGAATAATCAATAAGACAATGATAATTTAATTGTCTTACAATCTATGATATAATTAAAAGTATTTATGTTAAAAGAGAAGTCTCAGAATTAAAAAATAGAAGAAATTATTAAATAAAAGTCTACATTTTCATAAAAAAAAAAAATATATATATATATATAAATTGTTATATATAGATTATTATTATCATCAAGTCATCATATATGATTGAATTTAAATGAAAATAAATTCTAAATTAAAAATCATTGTTATTATTAATTAAATTGATTTATATATATATATATATATATATATATATATATATATATGTATATAATTACATTGTAAAGTTTTAATATTAATTAATTTTTAATAATATTTCAGTCACGAGACTTTCGAGACCGAGCATACACACGAGAATTACGTGAAAAAGTTCGTGCAAGGGCAACGACTTATCAGGAATTATCAGAACACGAGAGATATCCTGGACTCGATCGTGAAAGTGCCAGACCACCGTTAGAAATTGTCCCGACACCCGGTAGATATCGTCACAGCTATGCAGAACCACCCAGACTTGGATTAGCTGCGTTACATCCTTACTGACGAAGTCAATTAACATTAATGATCGTTAATTAACGATGTCTTTCTTTTTTTTCTACTTTATCGATCGATCGATCGAGTTAGCAATCGTTGAAGATTTTTTATTTTTTTTTTTTTTTGATTGTTCCTTCAAAAGATAAAAATATTTTCACATCCGTTCTGATCTGTAAACAAATGAAAAATTCTTGTTAATCGTTATGTTCATTCGAAATAACGAATAGGATCTTATATTAATATAGGATTTTAAATTTGAAAGATCGAATTAAAATATTTTTATGACGATCAAACGTCATTCTCGTTATAATAAATGAGGAAGCTCTTGTTAATGAGAGAGAGAAAGAGAGAGAGAGAGAGAGAGGGATCATTGTTGATAATTAACGTGAACTACAGATTACGTATTATATTGTTATGCGCCAGATGCCAGACTAACGATAATAATAATAATAACAACAAATTGTAATAACGACAATAACAGTAACAATAATAATTTTAATAACACGTCAATTTATTCTCCAAGATTTTCTCCTTTTTTTAATCCGACTTCGAGGATTTCGACAAAATTTATTTATTCGATGAAGAAATCATTGGATAATTCTTCTCACGAAATACAAAGAGAGGAAGAGAGAGAGAGAGAGAGAGAGAGAGAGAATTCGAAAAAGTTACAAAATTTACGTGAAATAAGTATTCTTAAGAAGAAATCCAAAACATTGGTCGAAATAAATATTTAATGTCAACTACTTTCTCTACGAAATTCTTTATACTTTACTCATGTTTTTTGATGCACGAATCGACGCGATGCATTTTAACATGATGATCTCTCCGTGATTGTGGGTGTGATTTATGTCTTAAAAGAGAAAACAACAACAACAAAAAAAAAAAAAAAAAAAAAAAAAAGAAAATTTATTTTAATACATTAGAAAAAGTGAACGTAATAAAAAAAAAAAAAGAAAAGAAAATAATAATAATAATAATAATAACGACGAATAGATTGAATTGTGTTCATTCGATGAAAATAATTTGTTTGAAAAGTTCTTTAAAAGTCTAATAAAAAAGTTATAAAACAACGAATAAAATTAATTGAAAATAAATAATTCAATAGACTCGATTTCTCTGAATTCTAAGAAACATCAGAGGTCCCTAAGGCTAACGATTAGATAATTAACTATGTCAAGAATTTTCCTAAAACTTTCTATTTACTAATTCTCCTTCTCTCTCTCTCTCTCTCTCTCTCTCTCTCTCTCTCTCTCTCTGCTTATTTTAAATGAAAGAAAAAGAATGTTTGTGTAAATTTTCGAAACTTTTTCCAGAAGAATGATTTACATGCCTCTTTTTGTGGATTACGGGGTAACCGTGTACTCGCTCGAATAGTAAATTACTTTCGCGGTTAGCAGAGCAGGAAGTGACCACTTTGCATTGTTTGATATACCGAGTCTCTTATGCGAATAACAAATGAATAGAAAGTCATTCTTGGTGGTGTGGCCGAACGTAACACGATCTCGATGCACCGTTTTCTTTTGCCACCGGACATTCCAATGATCAATCAAGTATTACAAACATAAATATCTATATAGATATGTACTTGATAATACTTGATTATCCTATATGATTATAACTACTATGACATTTTTAATATTATTTGTAATAATAATTTTTTATGAATTGTATACATATATTAATTATATATATATATATATATATATATATATATATATATATATATATATACATTATTAAAATTAATTATATATATATATATATATATATATATATATATATATATAATTAATATTTCATTGAAATTTTACTTTTACTTTTACTTTTACTTTTTATTTAAAAAAAAAAAAAAAAAAAAAAAAAAAGAAAAACGATTTTTCTAAATTAATTAATATCGAGTAAATAAAAAGTTATGAATTTATTACGACAATGTAACAATGAAAAATATTTCTTTAAATTGAAATGCAGTGTCTTCGCAGAAAGAGTATTTTTTTTTTTTTTTCTTTTTTTTTTTTCGTTCACGAGAAAAGATGTTACGCGATTCTTCTTTCATCGCGCGTAACACGCGATATAAAGCAAAGAGTAATATCTCAAGATGCAGTTGTATTTCGTAAAAATCAAAAGACCGAAACCGACACGTTCGAATCGTCGTCGTTCTCTCTCGTTTTTCCTCTTGACGAAGTATGCAATCGCTTGGAACGTTACACACACTCATGGATGGAACGTCTGCATACCGGGTGACCGTTACGGTGACGTATGAAAACGGTACCAAGAACCTCTATAGAATTCCTCGGTTAGCAACGAGTAAGTAATGTAATGTAATTCGCACGGTGTGTAAGAGGCTGACTCTTAATGAAATTCAACAATTCGATTACCGTTGTAATTGCATACTATCTTGGCAAACAGATTGGCAAATGACTTTATCTATTGCCGGTTATATATAAACAAAAAAAGAAAAGAAAAAGAAAAAAAAGAAGTCGAACGTTATTCAATCCGAGTTAATAAATTAATCGTTCAACAAATTTTTAATCGATGATCCGATTACTTTCTATAAAGAAAAAGAAAAAAAGAAAAGAAAAACAAAAAATAGATGCCACTTATCCTCTCTATACGAATACCATAGTGCTGAAATCATTTTTTTCTTCTTTTTTTTCTTTTTCTTGTTTCTTCTTTTTTTTCTTTTTCTTGTTTCTTCTTTTTTTTCTTTTTTTTTTTTTTTTTTTTTTTTTTTAGATCGTCCATCATCCATTACCGTTTTCTACATTAAAATAGATCGAATAATCTTCCTGATAAAAAATACTATCGTGTAGTATTTCACCTATATCAACTCGTAGTATAGGGGCTTTGATAATGCTCACGTTATCTCTATATATGAGAAGAAACACTTCCTGATTAAATACCAAGCTACTCGGTGAATCTCAATTTAAAAGCTATATATCAACGTCTAATAAGGAAATAAAAGATGATTGTGATAGGTAAGATTGGAAAAAATGTGTATCATTAAAATACAAAAAGTAAATAATATAAGATAAGACAATAGCAATTAATGCCACTTCCGTCGATTTATTACATCGTTGAATTACAATTGTGAAGAAGCTTGAAAATAAAGTAGTCGAGAGAAGGAGATTCATCGTTGTTCTTTCTGATCACGATCGATCGATAAGATAATCGTTTTTATTTCCCATGACCGTGGCTCTTTAAATTGCGTGAAATTATTCGATATGAAAAAGCTTAGAAATAAAACAACAAAACAATATAATACAACTACAATACTTCATTGGTTTATAAATTTTGAATGAATTATGAACGTCAAGTAAAATCTTAAAAGAAAGAAAGGAAAAGAAAAGAAAAGAAAAAAAATATTCATTAATAATCTCCTCAAATTATCTTCGTATTCATGTACAATAAAAAAAAAAAAAAAAAAAAAAAAAAAAAAGAAAAAAAAGAAAAAGAGAAAAAAAGAGGGAAAAAAAAACAGGCTTTCTTTTCAACGAGCAAGTAAAGAAACGGCCTCGAATAATTATGGCAAGTTTGCAACGCTTATCAGAAGTCCTCGTAACATGCTCCAGTTCTCTTGGTCGACCTTGAATGCGTCTAACGCATACTATATAGCTGTATACCTAAAAATAAATACTGTTAGAAATCTGATTTCTCTCTCTCTCTCTCTCTCTCTCTCTTTGTAAATATATATACAATATATATAAATATATTTAAAATATTTTTTTTGTTTATTTTAAAGAAATATTTTAAAGACATTTTAATGATTGAATGTTAACCCGATCGGTGGTCAATGCTCGCAGATTGCCATCAATAGTCACGACAAGTCACTACAAGTCCTGACCTCGTGACTATCTAAAGGCAGAAACTACGTGACGGAAAAGCGGATACTATACTCACTACGTGTCGGAAGTGAACTGCCATGCTCTCAATCTGTGTACGGGAAAGAATTTTTCTTACTTTTTCTTCCTCCCCTCCACCCTTCTCTCTCTCTCTCTATCTCTCTCTCTCTCTCTTTCTCTATCTATCTATCTATCTATTTATCTATCTATCTCTTATTTCTTCTCCTTTGGAATTTAAACTACGGAGCGTCTGCACGATCAAATGTTCTTTAAATGTAAACATATTCAGAAGAATGATTCACGTATATATCCGAATTTATTTTGAAAATCATACAACTTTTTTGGCAAATTTGAAAATTAATAAATAAATTTAATATTTTCATATGATTATAAATGATCGTGTTTGTTGCTATATTTTTTCTTTTTTTTTTTTTTTTTTTTTTTTTTTTCGTAATTTTTTCCTTTTAACATTTTCATATTCTTCGTATTTTATATCTGAAAAAAGAATTGTTACGGTAAATAAAATTGTTAATTTATAAGCGGCAAATTTTTTGTCCTTTTTTTTTTTTTATTATAAATGTAAGTAATAAATGCACCTGTTACAAAGAGAATAATCATAGAAGCATTTAGCTTGACCGCGTTAGTAAAAGTGAACGACGTGCATTTGCCAGCAATGCGAATACTAGAGATCATTGCTTCGCCGTGCGTTTGTGTCTCCCGTTATTCTACGAGCTGGAAATTTCAATGCTTGCATGCATCATAGGGGACAATGCACCTTTTATGATTCTCTTATATGTGTTCGATGATCATTACAATATCTTTGTAACGTTAATACATTATCGAACAATCGTTATATTTCTATTCATGTTATTAAGTATAAATATTTATTATTATAATTACTATATATATATATATATATATATATATATATATATATATTTATATATAATATTATCATGAATGATAGATACAAATATATATGTTTATAAATTTGATCAATTAATATTGACAATTATTAATTACTTATTTGTATATTTAATTATAAATTAAAATAATTATTTAGATATTTAATATTTCATATTAAATATAGATATTAATTAATATAGATATATAATACTTATATATATATATATATATATATATATATATATATATATTAATAAATAGAAAGACATTAAAGAAAAATCACTTTCTCTCTTCTGAATAATTAAAAGTCACAAAAATCATTTCAATTCGAGACAACAAAGGCTGATAATTATAAGAAAGTTTTTATTTAAAATGTCAAGACGACTCTTAAGTACACTGTTTTACGTCTCGACGTCGAGGACCTCGCCTCTCTTATTTACATAAAACTTTCGAATCACCACGGAAAGCATTCTTAGAAAGCTGCCAATGCTTTTTCTCTTCTTGTACCTAAGAATCATAGAGTAGTCTATGCAATTCTTTCCTTTTTTCTTTTTTTTTTCTTTTTTTTTTCCTTTTTTCAAATTCTTCAACCGCCAACTCTACCTAAGATTTCAATACCTGGATTGAAAATTATCGAAGATTCTTGGAACTTGGACAAAGAGCAAGGTCACGTCAAGAGAAGATGGTACTTAACAAATTCCTAACTAAATTTCAAGAAACTGTTCAAGGAAGAATTGACTATTGACAGTCAAACAAATCATACATTTACGGTACATAAAAGATGTACTTACAAAAACTATTACAAACATTTTAAAATAACAATTCGCTGATGAGAAAATATTGAGAAAAAAAAGAAAAAAAAAAAAAATAAAGAAAGAAAGAAAGAAAAAGAAAAGGAAAAAAACACGTATATTATCCCAAAGATAAGTTTTTAACTTTAATCGAGCAAAGTTCACAGGAAATACGCCGAGAAAGATCTATCATGTGAAAAGAAAAGAGAGAAAAAAAAATAAGAAAAGGGAAAAAGACTGATTTCACAGTGAAAAAAGAAGAAGAAGAAGAAGAAGAAAAAAGAAGAGGAAATAAGTAAGTAGGTACTTACAGTGGTGGTGACGTGGCAGGATGGGAACGTTCTCTTGAAATTCCCAACTAAAAGTTTCCACAATTTAATCTTTATCGCGGTCGCGTGACTAGTACGTACATACATTTATACATACATACATACATACATATGAGATAGTCTAGTGAATTTCTGCGAACATTTTACAAGATCGTCTGGAATACCTTAAGAACGGTACTACTTGTATTGCGCCGGAAGTCTAAGGGGATAATTTCGTGTCGTCCGCTGAATAGAGGAGACTTTATTACCTAATATCACAATTTCCACTTTAAGACCGGTTTTCTATGATAGCTCTCACTATAAATAGAATACTCTGTGTGAATCCTTTCTTCCAAAGATTTTTAACTTCTTCCCTCTAATCAAATTTCCACTAAAATTTATAAATATATATAGATGTATGTATATAAATATATATATACATATATACATATATATAAGCAAATCGATTATATAAATATATAATAAATTTATTAACATGTAATATAATCAATTGCAAGTTTGTACATTCGTCATTAGAAAAAAAAAAAAAAAATGTATAAGAAAATAACAAAGAAATACAATCAATTTTCAATTGTTCAATATATGTGTGTATATATCTTATCGAGAATATAGTTCGCAGATAACAATCAACAATGATTGAAAAAAGAATGAATAGCGAAAAAGTAAAAAGAAAAAAAAAAAAAAGTAAAGAAAGATCTTTCATCTTCATCATCAATCTAGCGTGACTGAAGCAATCAAAAGAAACGCTATCTCCTTATTTTCTTATTAGATGGAACAAGAGAGAGAAAGATGGTGGATCCATCGTTAACAACAATGAACGGTATAACTTCATAACGGTTATACCGGAAGTTAATTTCACTCTAACAGACGAAAAGTATCGTAGTGTTAAAAGTTTAGTGTCACGATCTTCAAAGATGTCTCACGATTGAAGCCATGGTTATACCGTCGGTATCTTCCACGAATCCCAAGTATTCCACACGACGGAAAAGGTAATGAGAAGGCCGGTAAAGGGTGTGGTGGTAATGGTACTACTGATGGTGATGGTGGTGACGATGGCAGAATGTGGGGAGATTCGAGAGGCGAGTTGAATTCCTCGTAATTAACGTGACGTCGACCCACTGACCCACTCGACTTATTCATTTTGGTTCTTTGCCAAGGAAAAAGAGTTTCGGCAATAGGGATCGTATACGTTAATAAAGATTTTCATCATCGTTCTAGGATATAGATAAATAAAAATATTTAAACGTCTGTCAATATTTAAACGAAACACTATATATATATATATATATATATATATATATATATACACACGTACAAAACACCATAGAATTATCTGTTCAAAGTAACAGAAAGATTTTAGGATGAGACCAGTTGTCCTTCGGGATTCGAAGGACGACACCCTCGATAAAGAAAAAAAAAAAAAAAAAAGAAAATATCTGGTAGAGAATTCGACTCTGTCTTTTGCATGCTAATATCAACGATTTTGTAGTTCTGCTTCTCTCGAATACACGAGAATTCTTTTATCTCTCGTTTATACGGCTCTTTAATATTTCTCTACGAAAGAATTTCTTAAGAGTTAAATAAAAAAAAAAAATATATATATATACAGTAGAAAATCTTACGTTTATAGATTAGTACATGTTGATAAAAAAAATATATCAAGAATGCGAAACCTTTCAATAAAGAATTCTTGTTATTGAATGTTGACGGATTTAAGGTCTATATTCATGAGACCTTAGATGTCGCTTGTATTTCTTCAATTTTTAAACTATCCACTGAATTTTATTATGAAAATGTATATGCAATTTTCTTGTCTATTTAAACATCGTTAAAACAATTAATTTGATCGAAATTAATTCATGAACAATAAAATAATTCTCATTTATATTTAACGTTGATCATTTTTACAACTTCAAATTTTCTTACTTGAAAAAAAAGTAATCAGTTATATATTAGCTTTTTAAAAGTAATCATATATATATATATATATATATATATATATATATATATATAAAACACAAGATATGTATCAATTAAAATTATCAGTCTAAATTATCAGAGTAATTATTAAAAAAAAGATAAGAAAAATATAAGAAAATGTCAAGGTATAAAGATTTAACTTATCTAATTTTCCAATCGAAAGAAGAAAAAGAAGAAGAAGAAGAAAAGGAAGAAAAAGAAGAAGAAAAATGTTGCTGTTAAAGGAAGTTAGACCTTTCCCACGCGACCTGTCCTCGAGACTTTTCTTTCCACGACCTAGGAACCTTGTTTGTACCTTTCTTGAAAATAATTCCCTCCCACCCCACGTTCCCCCTCTCCACTTTTCTCTCGTCACAACACGTACGTATATATATATATATATATATATATATATATATATATATATATACATATATATATATAAATGTATGTATGTATGTATATGCTGGTTCAAGTTGCGCAATGAGAATATTCGTGATTTCGCCTTCGCAGTCACGGTACAAAAGAGAACGAACGGAGGGAGTATCCTCTGTAGACGACCTGACCTCAAGACCTCGAATTGGCTCCTATCGATTCTCAAAGAGAGTATCCGTTCTCTAGTTCTTCGTCACTCAACGAACAAGTTCCTTCACCTCTGACTTAATAACATCATTATTTTCATTTTTATATTTTCACTGGCTATCCAATTTCATTAATAATTCATTACTGTTATATCATTATACCTAATGTCCAGTTGTATTTTTAAAATTAGATACAATGTATCAATAAAATGTATTGTAATGAAAAGAGAAAAAAGGAAAGAAAAAAAAAAAAGATAAAAAAAAGAAAAGAAAAGAAAAGAAAAAAATTAAAAAAAGAAAAGAGATCAATATAATGAATCATTAGAATCTTCGGCTCCATCTTCATTTCTCTTTTATATCTCTCTTATATACCAAGGCAACAATCGTTGACCTATAAAGGGCAGGTCAACGAAGCGTGGCAGACTTAACGTCAAACCAGCTCTCGTTTACATTCATACAACCGATCTAACCAACGTGCACGTCTATTCCATCTTGAAGAGAATTCCTTTGATTTTTTTTTATAGACACCCAGATATTTACCTAAAAATTCATTAAATTTCTATATTAGCACATTGTTCCTAATCGAATTAGAAAGTCTTTTCAATGTATTCAATTAGTGATATGCATATATCTCGATGATAGATAAATAATCTAGATGATTATTTAATACCATTATTTTAAAGAACATTGAGGAAAAAGAGAGAAAGGAAAAAGGAGAAAGAAGAAATACAACGCAACAATAACAACAACAGCAACAAAAAGAAAAGAAAGGAAATAAAGAAATACGTAGAATTAACGTTCCAATGTGAAACCAGGCGAAAGATCGTCCGTTTCCTTCGACACGATTCTTGGGAGCACCCCGAGAACAACGTGCCCGAGGGTCTCGACTCTCTCGCACAAGGTAGATAGTTAGGTAGTAGTAGGTAATATTAATAATAGTCAGTATTAGTAGTAGTGATACAGGCGACACACGAAGGTAGTAGGTAGGGAGTGCCCGGACGAATCATGGAGCAAAAAGGACAGAGACTAAGGAAGAAGAAGAAGAAGAAGAAGAAGAAGAAGAAGAAGAAGAAGTAGAAGGAAGAAGAAAAGACTAAAGAAAGAGAGAAAGAGAGGGGTCTGTGTGTTAAAGGAAGAGTGGGGTACGATCAGCGAAGTCTCACGCTTCACGAGCCGTTCTCAGTCTACGAGTATACCGGTAGAAGCTAGGAGTTTCTTTCGTTGCTTTCAAACGATACGGTAGAACGCGCGTGCGCGTACAAATTCATACACATCCTCTCCATTTCGTGTCTCTCTCTCTCTCTCTCTTTCTTTCTCTTTCTACGTGTTGTGCGTGTGTATGTGTGTGCGCGTGTTTATGTGAGAGTGCAATATCAATTGATTAAAAGTATTAGAAACGTTGAAGCAGGTGAGGGTAGACCTAGCGATTAAACTTTTACATAGGAAGACAAAATTGTTCAGCAGGTCAGCCATTTTTCCTTTTCAGGGGTCCCCAATGTGGCCCACCAAGTGGAAGTACGACGTGTGCCTGCTACCGGCCGCGCCTTTGGATTCCTCAAAGTCCACCGTAGCAGCTCTCGAATTCCTATTGAAGTATCGGTCTGTATAATCTTCTCATCATTGTGTGTGTATGTGTGCGTGTGTGTGTATATGCGAACAATCTAATAGTGCGTTGCTCGAAGAGCAGACTCCTCGGTACGTGCCGCGAGTTTGCGATCACGAGGCTACACGTGCAGGAAGAGAGAGAGAGAGAGAGAGAGAGAGAGAGAGAGAGAGAGAGAGAGAGAGAGAGAGAGAGAAAGAGAGAAAGAGAAAGAGAGATTCTCTTTGAAGGAGACTACGCCACTGTGGAACGCTGCATACCGAAGAAAAGAGAGAGAGAGAAAAACAGAGAGAGAGAGAGAGAGAGAGAGAGAGAGAGAGAAAGAGAGGGACAGAGAGTGGGAACTGAAGAGGGGAGGAGGTGGGGGGAATAGAAAAGGTGCGAGCAAGTCGAAGGTAGGAACGTCGTATGAGACCGACGAGGACAGACGAGACGTTAAGAACGTGTAAGAGGAAGAGAGACAGAGGTAGGCAAGATTCAGAATAGAGTGGGGACCCGTAAGAAGGCGGCCATAATGGCCTGACGCCGATCTCAGCGAACAGCGGCTACAGCTGCTGCGAAATATCCAAGCGACTCTCTCTGCTTGCTTGCTTGCTTGCTTGAGTCCCGTCGGAGCACGCCTCTTATTTTGCAACTACTTGAATCCATCGTTGTCGTCGTCTTTGGAAAGTGGCTGCGTAATCGTGAGTGTAGTGCAACTCAGCACTTGGTATACCTACAATCTCTATCTCTTTTGTGTAAGTGTCTGGTTAAGTTTGTTGTGTATTATTAAGAGAGAAAGAGAGAGAGAGAGAGAGAGAGAGAGAAAGAAAGAGAGAGAGAGAGAGATTCCTTTCCTGATCTTTTCTTAAGTAATTGGAAGAAAATGGCAGAGTGATCCAGTGTTTCGTCTAAATTTGTGGTGACTTGAATACTCGATTGAGGAGTGTTCTGGTCCAATTACCTGCAAAATTTCATTGGTATTAAATTATTAGAAATATTAAAAGAATGCGGGGTGCTAATCAAGAAACAGCTACACCGTACTGCCGGTGCAGAGTATTGTACCTTGGTAGTTCGGTACCTCATGCCAGTAAAGAAGGTTTGTTGGGTGTTCAAGAACCTTTGAGAGAATTATATCCAGAACAAGGAGCGTTGGGTGCTCGTGGGATTGACTCCTGGTTAAGTGTATGGAGCAACGGTTTGCTGTTGGAGAACGTCGATGAACATCGCAAGAAGGTCACCAGGTTCTTTCCTATTGAAGCACTTCACTATTGTGCTGCTGTGAGACATGTGAAGGGTGGTAACGGGGATTCCTCAACGACAAGATTTCTGCCTCTCGACTCGCCTTTCGCCAGGACGCCGAGCGCCAATCATCCGCCGCTCTTCGCGGCCGTCTTGAGAAGAACGACCGGTATCAAGGTCCTCGAATGTCATGCGTTCATTTGCAAGCGCGATATGGCGGCCAACGCCCTAGTGAGATGTTGTTTCCATGCTTATGCTGATAGCAGTTATGCTAAGGGATTAGAACCGTCAACAGGAACAACGAACGGAATGACAACTGGCAATCCGTCGAACAATAGTCTCTATCATACTTTGGGTGGGTCTAGCACGACTCTGGACAATCCACAGGCTAATCGTTTGGATGCTTCATCGACGGACGATCTTAGTCTTTACAATGGTGATGAGAATCATAAGGTTTGGGCTAGGGGTCGTGACGAGATGGACGGTGTCTATCAAGAACAAGGAACGTTGAGGAGTACTAAAGGTTCCAGACCACGGCAATTGGTTGCACCACCTCCTCCACCACCACCACCACCTCCTCCACCTTCTCAACCTTTGCTGGTCGAGGAATCTACTTCTTCTGCTACCAGGAGAAAAACTAATAAAAAATTGAAGAAGTTGAAGACTCGAGCGTTGCACGAAGACGCGATACAACAGCAGCATCATCAGGTACATCAAGGGATATATACCAATGGCCACGGTCATCATACTCTTGGACATCCAATTAGACAACAACATTATCATCCACATCCATTACCACCTAGTAGTCGATCCGTTGCTGGAACTTTAGCTAGACCAGCACCTGTCTTACTGGTACCAGCCGCTACACTACCGAGAAAAGGACATCAACATCATCCCAGAGGACTAAGACCGATCCCAGCAGCAGCACCAATTGTTCCAGTTTACGCTCCACTCCCAGTAGTTCCACCTCCTGTCGCAGCGGCCATTTATCCAAGCGGAACATATGGGACTGCCGGTAACAGAGGTAAAAGGCATTCCGAAGTAGAAGGCTCTACTCTAGGTGCTTCTAGAAGATTAGCAGCCTCCCACGCCGATTTAACATCAACCGAGCTTGGAAAATCGGCTGATAGTCCGGAAAACGAGTCACGATTTGGTACAGGGATTTACCGGCGGAAAGGTCACTTGAACGAACGGGCCTTTTCTTACAGCATTCGCGCGGAACATCGTAGCAGGAGTCACGGTAGTTTAGCTTCTTTGGGTTTCAGTGCGCAGAACGGTAACGCATTGCCCAAAGAGGAGAAGAAGGATCGAGAGATAGCTCAACTGGTGGCAGGATTAAATTTAGATGAAAGTCCAAATGATCGAGTTCAACCTGTACCAACTTCTAGAGCTGCACCATATTCTCATCATCATCATCAGCAACAGCAACAGCAACTACATCAACAGCCACAACAACATATGCAACCTTTACCTAGGCCACGACCTCGTTAGGTACATTTAGCTTACGTCAAACGTTTCACATATCTCTCAACGTCGACGTTCTTGTTTCTTGCGTTTATTTTCGATCGAGTTACGCTATGGATCAAGCTGCTATTGGACCGAAGCAACATTCTGCTTCGACGTGGGCGTCTTCTTTTGTGGCATTCAAGCGGAACAGCTTAGCAGAGGTTATCATGCTGTCCCAAGTACACTATTGCTACTGCTAGTCGATCAAACTGATTTCACATTCGATCATTCGAGATAGCCTGGAAAGAAAATAATACAGTAGTTATCGGAAAGTGGACTGATAATACGAGTAGGTTATTCCTATAAATAAAAATAATAATACATGATCGATTTAGATCAATGAGACACTGTTTTAAATCTCCAGATGACGTAACAATCTTTAGACCCTAGGGAAACGAGCAAGGACTAATTAGACGAGCCAGGATTAATTATTATCAATTTTACAAAGAAGGTGGATCATTCTGTTGGTTCAAGCTCAATAGATGAAGACACGGAGCATTTAAGAGCTACCCCCTATCCCGTAACGTTTCCTTTGAGAAAATGTCTCTGTTGTTTTACAGTGGTTACTATAGTTATCATCGAATATCAAATTATTTCATTACGTATTGATTTTACATATATACATACATACATACATACGTATGTATTTATGTAATTTCATTATTAAAGATACATCTTATTTCAATTGTGTTATTGTATCTTTTTCTTTTCTTTTTTTTTTTTTTGCTTATGCGAGGAGGACCAACATCGTAATCCTGTGCCAAAACTTTTTTTTTTTTTAAACAAATGGTACATCTGTTCCGTAAATAAACAAATAAATAAATAAATAAATAAATAAATAAATAAATAAATAAATAAAATAGGAAACCGAGTGTGATCATGAGCTAACTTTTTTTATTTATCTAATCGCAAGTGCCAGAGAAAGAGAGAGAGAGAGAGAGAGAGAGAGAGAGAGAGAGAGAGAGAGAGAGAGAGAGAGAGAGAAAAGAGAAAGAGATAGGATCATTCTGTACTAAATTAAATAATTAAATAAAAAAAAGAAAATATGAAATTCGCGATTGTTTGTTTCGTACGATCGTGTGAAAAAACAGAGAAAGGTAAAGAAGGAATCACGCGTGAACGTGGATCATAAATATTTATCGTACAACGTTAACATAAAAAAGAAAGAGCGAGGGAGAGCGAGAGAGAGAGAGAGAGAGAGAGAGAGAAAGAGAAAGAAAGAGAGAGAGAAAGAAAGAAAGAGAGAGAGGAAGAAAAAAAAACACATATTGAATTTCTTAACGCTGTTTCTCTAGTCGCGGCTTACATGACTTTATACGGCGACTTGCGAAACTATTTTCTCGTTGCGAACGAACGAATCTACGAGAAAAAGAAGATAAATAGATAAAAAGAGATGGATAGATAGATTACGTAAAATAAATACATATATATGCGTATGTATATATATATATATATATATATGTATGTATGTATGTATGTATATATATATATTTACGTAAGTGTATATATGTATAAATACATTTACATGAATATTCTGTGAGTATACTGTATATATATATATACACACATATATATATATATATATATATAAATATATGGATACATACATACTTGTGTGTGTATATATATATATATTATATATATATATATATTGAGAAGATTTCAGAGGGATCACGTGACAATAGACAATATGCTTTACATTTATGCACATTATTATATAACGCTATTTTTATTTTTCTTTTCTATTTTTTTTTTTCTTTTATTTCTTTTTCTTTTTATCCACCAAATAATAAGAATCGTAACTAATGAGAAGCATGCCATTGATTAGAGTTCATCTGTTAATTCATCGATAGAATCGAAGAATCTAAATGGATTCGATGAACGCATTATTTTAAGAGACTATACCGAATAAGTGTATATTTTATGATATAAATATATCAATATATATATATATATATATGTGTATATGTATGTATGTATATATTATAACTTTAACTTTTTCACCAAAAATAGGAATCGTTTTTTTTATTTTGTTTTTTTTTTTTTTATTTTTTCTTTGTTCGTCGTCGAGAGAAAAGGAAGGACAAAATTTAAATGATAAATAAATGTCGAAGGAATGAATGAATAATTAAATAAAACCAACGAACAATTTATCTCACGTACGTGATCGATCGTTAAAAAATTGCATTTTGTATGAGGTACGATGCACGATGATGCATTTCTTTAAAAAAAACCAGAAGCGACGACATTCATAACAGGAAATCGTTGATTATTCGACAACTCATCTAATCCATTGTATGCCAACAACGACATCAAGAATGATCTACGAGGAAGAATCAGTAAGATAATTAAATATAAATTATATATTAAAAAAAGGAAAGGAGAATTATTTTTTCTTACAGAAAAAAAAAAAAAAAAAAAAAAAAAGAAAGAAAGTATATTGAGACTCGATCGATCGATCGATTGGATAGATAAATCGTATCGATAGATCCTGCATGTCAATAGAATCACTTTTTCATACTTGCCTTTTATGCAACGTCCTTTCACTCAGGACAAAATCGATTGTGCTTCGTACGTTGGTTATTGATTGTGAAAGGGATTTAAAAAAAAAAAAAAGAAAGAAAAAAAAATGAAGGAAAAAGAAAGAAAGAAAGAAAGAAAGATCGTACGAGAGAGATCCTTCTTGATCCTTTCTATTCCTTTTTTTATTCTTTTTCTTGTATTTTTTTTTAACTTTTTCTTTTTTTTTTTTTTTTTTTTTTTTTGAAATAATTCCATTTTATTCCTTTTTTAAATCATAAAGAGTCCTATTAGTTGATGAACGTAATTAGGTAGGGACAATTTTGAATGAATTAATGAATCGATTAATTGAAAAAAAAAAAAATTGAAAAAAGGAAAAAAATTAATAAACATTGCCTAATCACGTAAATATGTTATGTAACGTCCTGTTATTATGTATGTGTGAATATGTGAGAGTGAAAGAAGATGTATGTAATATCTATTCTTGTATATCCAAGAAAAACGAGCACCGATAGGAATGTGCCATTGGAGAACTCAACGTAAGACTCGTTTATGTTTATAAAGCTGCGTTTCCAATAATGATAATAATTATGACGATGACAATGATAATAATAATAATAATGATGATGATGATGATGATGATGATGATGATGATGATAATGATGATGATTCACGTATGGGAAAAACAAATTATTGCAAATGTTTTTCTACGAGGTGTCCCTCGTTTTATCTCGATCTTTTTTTCTTTTTCTTATTCTATTACAACACGTCGATCCTTTTTCTCGTCGACCTTGTTGTTTATACGTTAAACGCGTGTATAATTAATAACTTACTATAGTAAAAAAAAATATATATATATATTATATATTTTATATATATATAATATATATATATATATATAAATATATATATACATACACACACATACATACACCACACAAAGTCGAGAATATTTTATGAACGAATTACTTTATATTGTACGCGCGTTTTGCCCTAAGAAATAAATAATATTAACTGCGTATAATTTCATTATCCTGTGAAACTATCCCTTTAACAAGAATTTATGGAAATGTATATATATATATATATATATATATATATATATATATATATATACAAATAAACAAACAAAGAGAAGTATTAGTACAGATGTTGCAAAAATGAAAACAAAAATTCGCAAAATCTTTGAAAATAAAAATATTGCCATAATCTCATTTTAATATCATTGCAGTATATTCATTGAAAATAATCCGTTAGTACGATAGAAAAAAGAAAACAAAAAAAGAAAAAAAGAAAGAAATAAAACAAGAAGAAGATTGGTCCAGATGGAAATTGCGAATTGAAACAAGATGATATTTCAGAAAAGAAGGTAAGTACTTCAGTAATGAAGCAAAGAAAAACTTCTTCCTTTCAGAATAGACATAATGAAACATAATCTGTCTCGACAATATGGACCACTGAATTATCCGTGCAAAAGAAAAATGAAGAAAGAAAGAAATAATCGTTTCTCTTACATTTCATTCCTTCAATGTCATTTGAAAACTCTATGAACTTAATAATAATCCACATATCACGTATATATCGTATACGTATAGATCAAAATTAAAATACAATGGCATTACTTTGTGTCATGTGACAATTCACAACATACGTAATTATATAATTGAAAAATTATACAACTCATTATTTGCTTTACAATTTATCATTATAAAAATATACTATCAGGTTGACAGCTGAAGATTAGATTAGCGAAGGATGGCATAATTTTATAAAAAGAAAAAGTAAAAAAAGAAAGAAAGAAAGAAAGAAAGAAAAATAAACATGATTAATAAAGTCATTTAAAGGCGTAACTTTCATCGCACTTTCCACCATGATTTCTGAACATTTCTAATTACTTTCTATTAGACTAAATACAATAAAATCAAATTGTATTATATGTATATATATATATTTTTTTTCTATACAATGATAAAAGATATATATACATATATATATAGAGAGAGAAGATAATGGTAGAGCTCTAACTTACCGATATCAATGAATAACATTTATACTTTTTAATATTTTTTTTTTTTTTTTTTTTTAATACAAAAATGACGTTTATAGTCAACATAAAATATCGATAGAAGGGTATCGATAACTTTGCTTTATGTCTTTCCCGTTTCAACGAAGTACCTGCACGTGTTGCCATGCGTATAATGGATGAGTATAAATTGTGCCGAGCGATGATTATAGTTCACCATCGTGACCTTAACATTGAAATTGTAATCAAAACGTTAGGCTAATGTAGCGAACAGCAGCGGTGCTCAGCGTTCGAAATACTTCTGAATTACAGTTATATATATTACCTACATAATTTACAGTTATATATATATATATATAAATTCAATTATAAAAGAATCAGGTCGTAAGTGAAATTAGTTTATCATAAGTATCGACTTTGTTTCAATCGATTCTAATGGTTATCTATTATCATTTCTATATATAAAATCACACGTTTTATAATTAGATAACTCACATTATTATTTAATCAATGAGAGATATATCAGTATAATAAACCAGGTAATAAACTTTTACCAAATTAACTTTCATATTTTTCAAGAGAAAGAATCTGAAAAAGGAAAAGAAAATAACAGTTAAGTTGTTATATATATATATATATATATATATATATATATATATATATATAAAAAAAAAAAAAATCATTTTATTTATGACAAGATTACCTATACGAATGTTTTTCTTTCTTAAATTCTCTCATATACATCTTGAAGCCGTCATTCCAATAGAAAGGATTAATATTAATGTCCCTTCCCGTTGTTTCTATACGTCAACAAATCTTTATCTTTGTATTCCTTCATGGATTCGCTTCGTGTTTTCCTCGAAGTGACAATCGCTCGATCAGGCGTTCCTTTTCGAAGGAAGCAGACTGTGTAATTGCATCACGCATCGTCATGACTGGTAAGAGAGCTTTCTCGAGAGATGTCTTGAATAAGATACTTAAGGACGATATAGTCGTTAAAAGGAGATCTGAGAGAAAGAACAAAACGTGATAATTAAGGATGCTACTGGTTGAAAAAGACAAGAATAAATACGGTTGTTGTTGTTGTTGTTGTTGTTGTTGTTGTTGTTGTTGTTGTTGTTGTTGTTGTTGTTCTCATTAAGGAGAAGACGTCATTCGTGATAAATAAAAGAAAGTTTACGTAATAAGTAAATAAAGAAATTTATCATAGCAAATGAGTACAATAATGATAAAAATTAATGAATGATAGAAAGAATGTACGTGATTGTAAAACAATATGTAAATAATATATATATATATATATATATATATATATATATATATATATATATATGTAATAATGTACTGTAAGGTAAGTGAGTTAATAAAATGTCAAACAACGAAGAACTATGCAAAATTTCTATAAAAAAAAAAAAAGAAAAAACGAAACAAAACAAAACAAAAAACTAAAACACATTAGTATCAGTCTCCTATACGTGCTATATTTTCTCAAGCTTTGCGTATTCTTTTAGTTAAGATTTTATGAATTAACGGTTTCTACGAGAGATGTAAATGGATGATAAGTAGTACCTTGTTAAACCTGATATGTTTTTTCTTCTACAAAATTTA